GAGGGGTCATGTGATAGCCTACGCGTCGAGGCAGCTGAAGCCTCACGAGGCTAACTATCCAACGTATGATTTAGAGCTATGGGTTGTGGTGTTCACCCTCAAGATTTGGCGGCATTACCTCTACGGGGTCCGTTATACCATTTACACGGACCACAAGAGTTTGAGGTACCTCATGGATCAGCCGAATCTGAACATGAGGCAGCGTCGGTGGTTAGATGTAGTGAAGGATTATGACTGTGAGATCCTTTACCACCCGGGCAAGGCCAATATGGTGGCTGATGCCCTGAGCCGCAAGGTGGTAGCGGCCCCGATTCGAGACATTTGTCTGAGGATGACAATGATTACTCCATTATTGGATCAGATTAGAGAGGCGCAGGTGGAGGGCCTGAAGGAAGAGCACCAGAGGTGCGAGAGTATTGTGGGCAGGGTGGCCTCATTTGATTATGACAGTCGAGGGTTGTTGCCCCTGTATGGGAGGGTCTAGGTTCCGTACTCGGGCGGAGTACAGCAGGTTCTAATGGATGAGGCCCATAAGTCGAGGTTCTTCATCCATCCCGGGGCAACGAAGATGTACAGAGATCTTCGACCCGATTACTGGTGGCCCTGCATGAAGCGGGACGTAACATGGTATGTGGAGTGGTGCTTGACCTTCAGGAAGGTCAAGGTCGAGCACCAGAGGCCTCACGGTAAGATGCAGCCGTTAGACATCCCCGTGTGGAAGTGGGTGGACAGGACTATGGATTTTATCACCAAGCTTCCCAGGACCACACGTGGAGTGGATTCGATATGGGTCATCGTGGATTGGTTGACAAAGAGCACTCATTTCATCCCGATCCAGGAGAGCATATCGATCGAGAAGTTGGACGAGATTTATGTGCGAGAGATAGTGGCGCGTCATGGAATGCCTGTCTTGGTGGTGTCAGGTCGAGATGTCTGTTTTACTTCCAGATTTTGGAAGCGGTTTCACGACGATATGCGTACTCGTCTCCACTTCAGCACCGCTTTCCACCCCCAGACAGACGGTCAGAGCGAGAGGACGATTCAGACTCTCGAGGACATGTTTTGTGCGTGTGTTTTGGATTTCGGTGGCAGTTGGGATACGTATCTTCCGTTAGCGGAATTTTTGTATAACAACAGTTACCACGCCAGTATAGACCGGCCTCCCTTCAAGATGCTCTACGGGAGGAAGTGTAGGACCCCAATCTGTTGGGGTGAGGTCGGTCAGATGTTCATAGGGAGTACGGAGGTAGTACTCAAGACCATAGAGCAGATCCAGCAGGTCCGGAGCAGGCTTCAGACTGTTCAGAGTCGGCAGAAGAGTTACGCCGACAAGCGGCATTCAGACTTGGAGTTTCAGCTGGGCCCCAGGTATATCGGCCCCATCAGAGTCATTGCCTGGGTGGGCAAGGTAGCGTATCGATTGGATCTTCCCGCAGAGCTTAGTCAGACCCACAACACTTTCCATGTTTCCCAGCTACAGAAGTGCTTGGTGGATGACACGGCAGTTGTGCCCTTAGAGGATATTCAGGTTGATGACAGCTTGAATTACATTAAGAGACCGGTGACGATTCTGGATCGTAAGACGAAGGAGCTGAGGAACAAGAGGGTTGAGCTAGTGAAGGTTCAGTGGCAGCAGCGTAAGGGTTCAGAGTGGACATGGGAGCCCGAGGAGGAGATGAGGGAACACTACCTGGAGATGTTTCCAGATGCAACAGACTTCGAGGACGAAGTCTAAGACAAGTGGGGGAGAATTGTAACGCCTGGTTCCCTGGTACGCATTTAATTTAATTATTTGCTTATTTGAAAAGAAGGAATTGACGTGTTGATGGCCCTAACTCATCGAGTAGAGGGCTAAGTATGCGCGGGGTTTGAGTTATCTACTCGGCGAGTCGAGGTCCCTGACTCGACGAGTAGCTCGGCCAGGGTGAAACCCTAATTTCAGGGTTTTGCACCCTATTTAAGCATCCTAACCCCCACCCCTTGGACTCATTTATAGCCTCCTTGTCCTAAACCCTAATCCACGAAACCTTAGAGCATTCTGGGAGTGTGTGAGCCATCTTTGACTGTTTTCTGTGTTCTTGAAGCCTAGAAGAAGAAGAAGGAGCTTGAAGGTTCAAGGAGAAGGTTATAGATCCAGGGATTTCGTTCCATTCTCATCACTTTCTGGTAATCAAGCGCTTAACTTGCCTTATAGCTCCTTAGATCTCTTTGTGCTCACTTTTATGGGGTTTTTGTCCAAGTGGCATGATTTATGAGTCATGGATATCCCAAGTTGATTATACTTTCATATCTGGAGTCATTAAGGGCTGTAAAGGCATAAATGTGCAAACTTTATGCCATTTGAGTCTCATGCAAACCTTAAGGATGTTGTTATGGCCTTTTAAGCCCCAAAGTGCCATGCATGGAAGCAAGCTCGAGACTTTATGTGGTTAACTGGTATCTAGGCCCTAGATCTAGGATTTCATGCTTTGGTTTGGAATACTAAGGTTGTTTGGACAAGATCTATGTCCTAAAGGAATTAGGGTTTTAGCTAAACCCTTCAATAAGGGCTATCAACAGGTAAAGTTGGAAACTTTACCCTTAGAAAGGTCATTTCCAGTGAACAAGCGAAGTAGGGGTTATAGATCTAGATAAAAAGGACTTAATCTGTTAAGATGGATCAATCAGACAGAGGAACTCGACGAGTCCTCAGAGGGACTCGACGAGTTGATGTGGGTTGTCCCGTTTTAGCCTCAGAAAGAACTCGACGAGTCGGTGAAGGGACTTGGCGAGTCAAAGCGGTAAATCGCGACTGTGAGTAGCATGGAAACTCGACGAGTTAGATCGCGATTCCAGGACCTAGAACTCCACGAGTTGATGGAGTAACTCGACGAGTTGGGTTAATCAGAATGTTGACTTTGACCCAAGTGTTGACTTTGACCAAGGGTAAAATGGTCATTTTACCCTAGGAAGGATTATCAGATTTTGTTTAAGTGTTATTATGAAATTGATAGTCGGGGAGTCACCGGAGCAGCCGTCAGAGATTCCTCACTCGAGTTTTCAGCAGTCAGTCTTGCGATGTGAGTTTCCTTCAGTAGGAACGGGTCTATGGCACCAAGGTTGGCCCGTATATGTGACATGATGGTAGTTGAGTGTGGGCGGGGCCCAAATCACATAGCAATCGAGTATGGGCGAGGCCCGAAACTCGTAGTATTATTTGAGTATAGTTATGTGATTGCTTGATAGGAGTAGAGATACTTGTTGTCTGTGTGATACTTGTATGCATATTAGACAGCGGAGTGTGGGCGGGGCCCGAATCTCCTAGACAGCAGAGTGTGGGCGGGGCCCGAATCTCCTAGACAGCGGAGTGTGGGTGGGGCCCGAATCTCCTAGACAACGGAGTGTGGGCGCGGTCCAAATCTCCTAGACATCGGAGTGTGGGCGAGGACTGAATCTCCATGAGAGTGGGCGGGGCCCGTATCTCTTAGTTGCATGTTATATGTTGGTATGTGGTAGTCTGGGGAGATTCACTAAGCTTCGTGCTTACAATTTTCAGTTTTGGTTTCACGTACTTTCACTAGCAAGGGGAAAGGCTCGGGATGATCGCATGACACACACCACAACTATAGCCTGGGATGTTTAGACTGATACTTTTCTCATATGATTTTGACACAGTATTTGACATGATGTTTTGGGATACATGATTCTTGATTTTCTTTATGGTGATGGATGATTCATGGTTTTATTACAAGTTTTAAAACGAAAATTTTGGACTTTATATTTGGGATGTTTCACTTTTTTACCATTTTAAAATCATTAAAGCTAAAAAACATTTGAAATAGACAATTTTTACCTTACTTATAAATTCCAAAATCATACACACGTGAACAGATAGAAATCGCAGAAATCGCATACTGCTTCATCAATCGTAATCCCTTGCGTCTTCATCGATCAACAATCACGCAACAATCGCACAATCGTCAATCAGCAATCACACGTCGAACTTCGTTGTTGCCTTCTCGCCTCTTCCCTGCTGCAATCGGCTACAGGTTAATTTTTGGCTTTCTTTGTAAACTGAACATTCAATTCATGATTATATGCGTGATAAACCAAAGGCGACCCTATCCCTATTTTCACTTTCTTTAATTTCGTTTTTGATGTTGCTTAATTTGTTCACGTGAATGTTTTGAAACCCTGCGATATTGATGTTTCAAACTAATGTATTTACAATCTTGAATTACAACTGGAAAAGATTTAAATGCAAGTATTTTCACGGTTTAAAAAACTGTAATTAATGTGAATAATGTGTTGAAATTTATACTTGATTACATTGAATTCTTTCTATTGTGTCAATTTTTTGTGAGTTTGATGTTTGAAGATACTGTATTTATAATCTTGAATTACAACTATCTCGAATGTTTGAAGTCATGTTAGTGAGGGCACTACTTCAATGCAATCCATTAATTCTTTACGTTTATTTAAGCATACATTTGGTATTTGTTATACCTTTATATATGTTTTTGTTATCGTTGATTTAGAATTATGTTTTAGACGCGATACAAACCAATGTCAGAAGATCATTCTCAAACAAAAGATATTACCCTTGATGACACATCAAAACCAATATGGGAAAGTAGGGCTACATCTCCAATAATCGAGTATGTTTATGTGAATATCTTAATTATAATTTTATTAAACCTTTACAAAATTGTATGATTGTTTCTCTAATTAATTTCAATTTCAAGCATATACAACCATCCAAGTTCAAGTTAAAATTGAAATATGGGGGTTACTTTCGGCTAACGAAGAACAGTTGTAGGCAAATATATTGCTTTGGCTCTCAAAAATGTATCCACATAGACACAACTTTATACACGTTAAGTCAACTACATGAAGAAGTGATAAAGCGTTATTCATCAAAGAACAACCCAAAATTTTCTATTCTTTGTGTTGACAAGTATGCACCAGACAAATCTTTTATTGAGCTTTATCTTGATGAAAAGTTCATGGCTATGCTTAGCATGTATGGAAGCGAGAAACAAGTAACCACTTATGTGACAACAGAGAATAACCTCGGCTCCAATATTCATACTAACCATTCGTGTGCCAACAGAGATGAACCACACGATGAGTATGATGCAGACCTTTGTCCTAGTGAAGAAAGCTATCATAGTCATCTCAGTTCTGATAATGAAGACGGTCTAATGAATGATGATGATGAATTTAACTCATTTAGTAAGAATAGCATGAGAATGGAAGTCGGCACGATGAGTATGATGCAGACCATTGTCCTAGTGAAGAAAGCTATCATAGTCATCTCAGTTCTGATAATGAAGACGGTCTAATGAATGATGATGATAAAGTTAACTCATTTAGTAAGAATAGCATGAGAATGGAAGTCGGCTCAAAATTTGAAAACGTGGTTGATTTCAGGAGAGCTTTGAACCACTTTGCAGTCACAAATGAGTTTCACTACTACATTCAGAAAAGTGACCCGACACGATTCACAACAAGGTGTGAAAACCTAGAATGTGAGTGGAGAATTCATGCTTCTATTACACAAGATGAAGTTACCTTTGAAGTAAGTGTATACGTTAAGTTATATTTAACATGATTTATATTAAAAATATATTTATGTTTATTTAATTATTTTTTTAGGTTAAGAAAATGGTAGAAGTACATACTTGCACTCGAAGCAACAAGGGTGGCAATAAGCGTGCCACTCAAGGTTGGATTGCTAATGTAGTAACTGCCAAGTTGAAATCTGATGGGGATGTCTCTCCATATGAGCTTAGAAATTGGATTATGAAAACTTACAATGTTGACGTGCCGTACCTAAAAGTTTTTAGAGGGAAAGAGCAAGCTTATACCGACATGTATGGTAAGTGGGAAGACTCTTTCATGAAGACGGACGAATTTAGAGAATAACTATTAAAAAGGAATGAAGGAAGCGTTGTTGAAATTAACTTTGACAAAGTTTGTGGAAAGAAAGTTTTCAAAAGGTTTTTTATTTGTTTAGCAGCTTGTTCTAGAGGGTTTGTTGTTGGTTGTCGTCCGTATATTGGTCTTGATTGTAACGCTCTGTTCCGAATCAATTCCTAGTCCGAGGTTGTGGCCCGAATATCGGTCATCATCAGGAATAAGGATTTTGAGAAGGTAAGATCTAGTCCCATTGGATGCGGGTGATGTATTAGAAGTGATTCGGGTGTTCGGTTCGTGTTTTGAGGCCTAGGGGTATTTCGGTAAAGTGGCGATTTGGGCTTTTGTGGAAAATGGACTTTTCTTCGGAAGGTCTTAAGGAAAGTATGAGTTGATAGAAGTGTAGGGCTTCTCGTCACCTTTCCTTGGATATAGGGATCGTCGGAATCGGGTTTATAATGAAGAAGTTATGGCCTTCGGAAGTTTCGTGGTTTTCAGGCTTAGCCGAGTACACGGGGCGTACACAAAGCGTACGCGGGGCGTACTAGTGGAGAAGGCAGTACGATGGGCGTACCATATGTACGTTGGGCGTACTCCAGTCAGATCAAAACCCTATTTTAGGGTCGTGGACCCTATTTAAACCCCTTATCTCATAACCTAACCTTAATATCTTCAGCCTCCACCCCTCTAAACCCTAGAAACTGTCATATATCATCCATGGTGGCATTTTGAGCTTATGGAGTTCATTTTTGGGGTGTTTGATCCGTTTTCAAGAAGATGGAGTTTGATGCAAAGATGGGAATCAAGGAGGAGCTTATGGATCTGGCTTTTAGGACTCATTCTCAGCTTGATGAAGGTATAAAGCTTTGAACTTGATCATTCATCTCTTAGATCTATAATTTTTGGGTTTTGGTTTCTTTTTGGTCCCAAGGATGAAGCTTTATGGTTCAAATTCGATTCTTAGACTTAGGGTTGCCACCCTTGATGCTATTTGAGTCCCTAAGACATAAAGTTGCCATCTTGAAGGTCTTAATGGGTTCATGCATGATTTAGGATCACTTTTATGGAAGTAGAATGCCATTTTTGGAGTTTGGGTTTGTTTGGGGCATGCAAAGCCACAAAGTCAGTGACTTTATGGGTTTAGACGTTAAGTATAACTCAGATATGTGATTTTGACATGTGGGATCAAGTATTAAGCACTTAATGGATTTTATGCATGAGCTGTTTGTACGTTGGGCGTACTATGTAGTTCGTTGCACGTACAGTCTATTTTCCCAGTACGCTAAGCGTACAGAGGAGGTACACTAGGCGTACGCTCTCAGTAGGATTTAGGCCTTAGTGGACTTTGGACCTTTGGGCCCTAATAGTTTTGGGCCTGGATTTGCAGTTTGTTGGGCCTGAATGTATCTTGGGCTAATATTGTAATAGTTGGGCCTATTGGGCCATGTGGCCCAATATAGAAATGGACTTCATATTTGTGGGCCTCGGTTTGGGCCAATTCTTGGATTAGGTTGTTGTGGGCCTTCGTGGGCCAATTGGGGGCAGGGTTATTGACTAAGGGGAATATTGGGCTTTAGGATAAGGCCCATTAGAAAGGTCCGGGCCCAATTTGGAAAATTGGGCCATTGATGGTTTTATGGACATTATAGTGTTGGGCTTTTGTTTTGGGTTTGGGCCTTAGTTTTGGTTCATACTGCGCCAGGGGTAGAATGGTCATTTTACCCCATGCATGGATTAAGGATTATGGTATGGGACCCAATTGCTAATTGGGTATATTGATTGGTTGTGGCAGCTCGGGAAGCTGGCGGGGCAGCAGCTAAGGAATTCATGCGGGAAGCTTTTGCAGTGCGAGGTGAGTCTTCTCACCATACCAATGGGTCTAAGGCACCAAGGCCGGCCCATTTTATGATATGTGGTACACTAGCTGTAATAGAGATATGTGGTATGATAGTTAGCTTTATGCTAAGTGGTATGCTAGTGATTATGTGATATTTGCATGGAAGATCCCGGGGGGATCCCGTGGCAGTTGGATATAAGACCATGTAGGGGAGCCCATGACATTCCTAGGTAAAGACCACGTGGGGGAGCCCATTGCATGATGGTATAAGACCCTGGGGGGAGCCCACAACAACCTTATATGTTTATGTATGTGTTATGTAGTATGATAGATACTTTTGTGATATATTATATGCTAGTTGATTATGTATGTTATTGCATGGAAGACCCCGGGGGGAGCCTATGGCAGTTGGATATAAGACCATGTGGGGGAGCCCATGGCATTCCTAGGTAAAGACCATGGGAGGAGCCCATGACATGAAGGTATAAGACCCTGGGGGGAGCCCACGACATCCTTATATGTTGGTATGCATGGCTTATGTGGTAGAGATAGCTTGTATAACTAATATGATATGTGGTATGTGGTAGAGATAGCTTTTATAGCTAATATGATATGTGTTATGTGGATTGTGTGTGGGGTATGCTCTGGGGAACTCACTAACCTTTGTGCTTACAGTTTACAGTTTTGGTTTCAGGTATCATCGATTTGGAAAAGAAGGGTTCGGATTGATCGTAGTGCACACACCTATGATTTCCACAATGAATGATGTTGCGATAAACTCTGATAAATGTTTTACTTAATGATGATTTGATATGTTTGAAATAAATGGTATCAATGTTTAGTTATATTAAAAATGAAAATTTTACCCTTGATTTTTGGGTCATTACATTGATGCTTTTCATTTAAAAGGAAAGTTTAATGGTGCACTAGCCGCTGCAACTGGTATTGACAGTAACAATTCTATCTTTCTAATAGCATATTATGTGCTAGAATCATAAAACACACAATCATGGACATGGTTTCTTGACTCACTCAAAAAATCAATTGGAGCGCCAAATGGTCTTGTTATCTCATCGGATATGCAGAAAGGGTTAGAAGTAGCCATCATGAATGTTTATCCTAATGTTGAGCATAGAGAATGTATAAGTCACTTATATAGCAACTTCAAGAAACACTTTCGTGGTGACTTATTTAACACCAAACTATGGGCTGCTGCGAAAACCTATCGTCCTACCAAGCATGACAGGTTATTAAAGGAAATTTGTGATAAAAATGAAGATTCCATTGCATATCTAAATACCAACCACAAAAAAATATGGAGTAGAAGCAAAATTGGAACTACTTCCAAGTGTGATTACATCACTAATAACGTTTCAGAAACATTTAATTCTTGGATTGGTAAATTGCATTATAAACCCGTGCTTGATTTCCTTGGCGCAATTAGGGAAAAGATTATGAAACAGTTTGATAAGAAAAGGAATTTGGTGAATACATGGAATGACGTATTGGTTCCTATTTCTAAAAATCATCTCAGCGACATCGCTAAGGTAAGCATGTTAAATATTTAAGTTGAATGACTATATTTGTTTTAGTTTTTACTTCAATAATACATATATCTAAAATATATATGTTTTTAATTTTTCATATAGAACTTGAGTGAATATGAAGTTACTAGAAGTTGTGAGAATCAAGCTGAAGTGAAGTACAAGGGAACACGTTGGGAGGTCAACCTAGATGAAAGAAAATGTAGTTGTCAAGTGTGGCAAGTTCAGGGTGGACCATGTGTACATGCAGCGGCTTTTATTGATTTTATAAGGGATCCTAACTGGGAAAAATATGTTGATCCCTATTTCACTATAGAGAAATTTAAATCTGCAAATGCTTTTCGAATTGCTCTGATGCCCGGACAGGATCAATGGGAGCAAAAAAATGGGGAGAAAATATATCCACCTATTATCAAACGCCCACCTGGACGACCAAGAAAAAATAGAATTAAATCATCGGATGAGTCTAAAAGAAGACGCAAGTGTCCGTGATATGGTGAGTATGGACACCGTCAAAAAACATGTAATAATCCAGCATCTCAAAGTTTCGATCAAAGTGAAACGGCCATCTCTAAAAGGTTACTTAAATTTCCATTTTTTTCAGTAAATGACAATACTAACAATGAAAATAATTTTTTTATTCATTTTAGGAAACGTGGAAACAATACAAAATCGCATGGCGATTTGGGAGTTTCGGGGTCTACATAAAAAAAGCTCGTGCAATTAGTTGGTCCTTTTGATAATTTTGTTAGCTTAAGTTGGAAATGTTCTTAATTAGGGTTCAATTGATGGATTTTTTTTGTTAGTATGTGACATAAATAAATATTTTGATATTTTTTTTCTTTCATGGATTTGCATTTGTTGTCAAATTCGTATATATGGTGCAAATTTAAAGACCAGGAACCAAACTGTAATAAGTGCAAATTTAAAGTCCAGGGACCAAACTGTCATAAGTGCAAATTTAAAGACCAGGGACCAAACTGTAATAATTGAAAATTTAAAGTCCAGGGACCAAACTGTCATAAGTGAAAATTTAAAGACCAGGGACCAAACTGTAATAAGTGAAAATTTAAAGTCCAGGGACCAAACTATCATAAGTTCAAATTTAAAGACCAGGGACCAAACTGTAATAAGTGCAAATTTAAAGCCCAGGGACCAAATTGTAATAAGTGCAAAATTAAGGACTAGGGATCAAAATGTAATAAGTGAAAATTTAAAGTCCAGGGACCAACCTGTAATAATTGCAAAATCAAAAAGTACAAGGACCAAATAGTAATTAGTGTAAATTTAAAAAGTATAAGCATCAAAATGTAATAAGTGCCAAATTTAAAAAACAATGATCAAACTATAATTAATTCCAAATATATTCTTTATGGACAAAAATTGTATATATTACAACTAAAAAGTACCGATATAAAAAATATAGCTAGTGTAATTAACTATTACAAAATTATGAAAGTTCAATGCTATAACTTATGAATTTCTCAAAGTACAATGTTATTTCTTGAATTTAGCCCTTCTTTTATATCTCTTCATTTGATGAGTAGTGGATCAAATTATTGATTGAATGCTCTTGGCTACAATATGTTGGAAACCCTTCATTACCAGGTAAAGGTAATGCAAATACTCCCCCAAAAATCAATATGTTGGTGTAGTGAATTTGAGGGTATTAGGCATGTTTTCTTTTGTGGCTTGTAACCCAGCTTCAGCTTTAGTAACCGGTCAAATAGTTTATGCTTTGGATGTCAAACCTACAACAGCAACAACAAAGAAACATGTCAAACTTAATAATTAAGGATGGCAAACTTACTAATTAAAACGAAATACATATGGTGTCATCTTCTTTGATGAGATTGTTAACTAGTTGATTGACTGCTAACAAGGCATTACTAGTTTTCAATAACTTGAGTAGTGTTTCTTGCAGCATAGCCAAGACCAGATTTGTGATGCTGACCCAACACATAACACTTTCCCACCTAAAGACAGTGAAGGGTCACGCTCTTCAAGCAAAATATTACCCACAAGAAACTGCTGATATAAAAAAAAACTAAAAAAAGCAATATAAATTAATATCTGAAATATAAAAGATGAGGGATCTTTTACCTGGATATAACTATCTCCAAGGAGGCCACCATTTCCTAGTTGGAAATGTGTCCTGTAATCACTACCCTGCATCAAGAAAAACAATTGACCATAACAAATTGGATTTTTTTCATCAAAACAAATCAAAGGACACTAAAGTGTATTTGAAGGTACAATGTAATTCAAGAACATAAATTACAAGATGAATAATGTACCTCATAGTCAAAGTTAAATATTCCATATGCCATGTGAGGCTTATTTGTAAGCTTATCTAATACCAAAATCGAATTAACAAAATATACTTTTAAAGATTTAATAATCAGCAAAATACATGGTAAGCTTATGTAATACCATAACAAAACAATTACTTGTGAATAACTTCATACTGGATTGGCTCGATTGGGGTTAAAGCTCACTGAGGTTGAAGATCGGCAAAATTAAAAGTTTGAAGTTCATTGGAAACCTGATTGTGGCTCAAATCAAAACAACTAAGCTATCAAATACAACATAACTAAGTTGATTGTTAAAAGAATTTGAACAATTGAAACTAGGAACCCTAAAAACGAAATTGAAGAGATGGAAAATAGGAATAGCTTGAAGTCAACATTACCTGATGCGATGATGTGAGTGTGCGACAACAGGGGGAAGAAGGATGTTGTGTGCTGCGATCGGAAGGAAGCTGCAAGACGGAAGGAAGTGCGATCGGAAGGAAGATGCAAGACGCAATGAATCTGCGATCGATAATCCCCAGGTTAACGTGTGTATGATTTTGGAATTTAGAAGCAAGGGCAAAATTGTCTATTTCAAATGTTTTTTAGCTTTAATGATTTTAAAATGGTAAAAAATATTATAAATCAATAAAAATAATCAAAAAAATAGATTTTGGTATATATGATATTAAAAAACATTAAGAAGGGCAAACACGATATTTAGAGTTTAGGTCGGGCAAATACGATATTTAGCTGTTTAGCAAGGGCGTATACAAAATTCTCCCTAACAAGAAACCTTGTAGATCCTTGACTCTTGAAAGCTTAGTGCCTCAAATGTGACACCTCTAATGTCTTACAAATACCACTAGCAAGAGGATGAGAGGAGAGAGAGGAAGGAATACTTTAGAATTTCAGCTAGGGTTCTCAAATGCAAGCATTCCCCGAAAATCATATGTGGTGGGGTCTTTATATAGTTGTGGGCTGCTAGGGTTTTCTAGAGGAAACCCTAATTTCCTGCTTAAGGCTTAAGCAGCCCATGGACTCCTCATCTAGAGGCCTTGGACGAAACCTATAGGGCCTCCTTATAGTTTTTGTCCACTCCCATCTAAGGAGTCCAATAGCCCAGTTTCACAACTATCAATGATTTGCAAAACAACCCTTGTTCCTTTAATCGGTTCCTTTAACCCCAAACTTAATTCCAAATTAATTTATGATTAAATACTAATTAAATAACATGATTTCTAATTAATATATTATTTTTATAACATTAATAAAACAATTTATTATTCCAAATAATAAATTCAACCTCTCTCTCCAAAAGTCATTCTGCCAAGTTGCTAGAGTGAAGGCAACCCAAAAGGACAATTGCTACTATCAAATCAAGTACATACCAATTATAGTTATGGGCTTAGACACCTAATCCAACAAAATCATATATGGAGAAATGGATTATAAGAAGTAACTAAAGGACTTCAGGTGAGTACTCTACCCTATGAACACTTGTTCCAAATATATGATATATTTGTACTTGTGTTTTCCCTTGTGTTCAATACCATACACATATACATACACACTCAATGGCTACTATATGTTTTTTGTGTGGTATTTCATTTATTCGAAGGCTTGATGTTATAGAAACTAAATCAGGGACACCCTTTAATGGTTTAAGGGCACTTTAGTGAAACCCCAAACATTGTTAATATTTAGGCTTAATATCTAGTCTACTATTGGGATTAACTCATGCATTTAGAATTACTGTCAATATGTGTACTCACTTAGTTACATCGTGAGGAGGTGTACACACTTAGTTAGTAATGGCTGACATTAAATGAAGATGGTTTTCAAGGAAGCCTAATGATTAAACAAGAACTTCTTTCAAAAATTAAGAAAACAGATCTTAAAATAAAGAAAGAAAATATATTCAGAAACGTTCCCTCAAGATTTAATATTTTGAATACGTTAAAAAGAAAAAACGAAATATTTTACTTCGTTAGTACAAAAGAAATGTCCGTCGACATAAAAGATACTACAGGATCTGTTTATCTACCACTATTAACCAAAGAACAGATAAACAATAATCTAAAAAATATTCCCACAGAAATAAGATCTAAAATTAGAATGGTCCACATCGGAGCAGTAAAAATTCTAATCAAATCTCAATTTCAAGAAGGAATTAATTCTCCAATAAAAATGGCCTTGATTGATGCTAGAATCAATCATCGACAAGATTGTATTCTTGGTGCAGCCAAAGGAAATATAGCTTACCAAAAATTCATGTTTTCAGTTTATCCTAAATTTGCCTTAGATCTGAAATCAGCAAACTTAAATAAGGTTTTATCTTTCATTCATCACTTTGAAAGAAGTGATCTCATGAATCCACGAGATAAACCCTTCACAATAACCTACCTTATAGGATATGCATTGACAAATAGTCATCATAGCATAGACTATAAAAAAGAAGAATACATAGAACTTGAAGATGTATTCTCAGAAATAGGACATGTCAAAGATAAACAATTTTGTGACATAGATCCTCAAGATAGCTCTTGGGCTTTAAACATAGCCAGAAACAAAAAAGCTTTAGGATAAAGGCTACCACCTAGAATCTCAATAGATTCTCTTCATATAGGTGAAATATCCAAATCTCTGGAACCTACTCCAAGAGATATACTCAAAAGCATAAGAAGTATGTCTTCTAGAGTTGATAATTTAAATCAAACGATTAGCCAACCAAGCGAAGTAATAAATGAGTAAGATAGACCTTCCTCATATTTACAAAAAGGGTAAATCATTGAGACTTAAAAATCTTGATGATCCTAATCAGAAAAAAGAATATGTTTTTTCTTCTTCAGGAAAAGTAGGCGTTCAAACCCTAGCTAACCTTTGTAACAATGTAAATCAGATTGTCGCAAGATGCTGGTTAAATACACTCAAAATAAATCACTATTTTGGAATTCAAAAAGATATTTCTAAAGATTTATCAAAAAATAATATACCTTTCAATCAATTCAAGAAGGATTTATGTCTTGCCCTTCAAAATGGAGAAAAAATTGATAACAATCAGTTTGAAATAATTTTTGCTCAGTTAGAAAAAATGAACAACATAATAGAACACAACTCGAAACTACTAGAAACGTTTAATAAAATTTCTAAAAACTTCGATGATCTACTAAAAGAAGTTGCCCATAAAGCTGTTCTTACAGACCAAATGAAAGATTTTAATCTTAGATTAAAAGAAGTGCAAAATCAGATAAAACAACTTATGGGATGACATCTATGGTTGACATTAAAGAATCACTTAATCAATTAAATGAAAAAGTTGAAGAACTATCAAAAAAGATTGATCAAATGATTAACCAAGGCTTAGTAACTACAAACCAATTAGAAGCCATCGCTGCTAAAATTATTAATGAAACGCAAAAGGAACTTCAAAAATGTTCTTGCAACAAAGAAATTATTGATATAATCAATAAAACTACTACAGTTTTAGATCCTAAAACTGAAGATAAAAAGCCATTCACTGGTAAGTACTCATACCCTAATTATAATGTAGGAAATGAAGAACTAGGATCATCAAGGAATCTCAGTTCTATGTCATGGCCTAAAGACTACTTTAAGTCAACATGATAGATTATTTATCTAAAGTAGAAACTTTTTTCTGGGATAACTATGAAGATGAAGAATTAATAATCAATGGATCAAATGTATCTATTCTTGATCAAGCTCTTAGGTTACTAGATCTTGCTGAATCTAAAGGAAAGGATACAGTAAACTTAGAAATCTCTACATCTGAGGAACTTAAACAACTTTTTCACTTTGATGAAACGATTAACGTCATAGAAGAAACATCTGATAAAGAAACTTTTGTATATATTTCAGAAGAAGAAGTAGAATCTCTTTCTTCTGATATAGAGCCTAACTTCGGGATGAATAAAACCGAACCACATTTCGATCATCCTGGAGAATCTTCTTTTCAAGGTGAAAGAAGAAAAAGACCTAAAATTGAACAAGGTCATAGAACTGGCTCTATGCCAGATCTTCCCACTGGAAATCCAAACCAGTTCGGAACAAACGTTCTCAATATTGACAACATTGAAACAAATAGAAAAGAAGTTATCGACAGATGGACTTCAGAAATAAGTCTAATCATTCAGACTAATAAAGAAAAATATGCAACAAAAGAATCTATCCTTTTATTATTTGACCATAAAACATCAGGAATAGTTCAAAAATTTATCAAAAATACAAACTGGATTAGTCATAATCCAATGACAGTATTCCAAGACATGCTTGATGCCATCTACATGATGTTCCTTGGTATAGATCTTATAGAAGACAAAGCCAATGAACAAAAAAAAGAGATCGAAAAAGCAAAGTCCAGACTTACGAATCTCACCATATGTGATATTTGCTTTCTAGATCATTACACATGTGACTATGAAACAAATCTTTACAAAATAAATGATTCAGATCTATATCCTGAGTTGATCAAACAATATCTATTAAAAATTCCCATTGTAGGACAACAATCTCATAACAGATTTATAACTGAATCTACAAATGCTACAATTTACAGTTTTGCTTTTGCTAAGAGAATTGTTATTGATGAGATTCAAAAAATTTGTAATCTATCAAACACACAAAAAAGACTAAAACGTTTTAATAAAAATTGTTGTAGTCATTTAACAAAAAAAAAACCCTTAGAGTATGGATGCAAAGTTAACCATAAAACAAAAAATTCTTCAAAGAAATCTTTTAATAAATATTCAAAAAAGAACAAAAGATTTTCAAAAAAGAAAGATACTAGACGGTTTAAACCGGGAAAATATTTCCAAAAATCAAAAGACAAAAGTCAATTTTATCCGAAAAATAAAAAGAACTGCAGATGTTGGGTTTGTAGTGAAGGACACTATGCAAATGAGTGTCCTAATAGGAAAGATTACCCACGAAAAGTTAAACTCCTTGAAATAGCGTCATCTATGGACCTTAGGCATATAGAAGAACAATTTCAAGATGAACAAATCGTCTACACATTGATTGAAGAACCTCTAGATGAATCATCATCTTCTTCATCTACAGAATCAAACACTGATTCAGACTGACTCAAAGGTCATGAACTCTAAAAATGTGATACTAACTATCACAAATCCTAATTCAATCTATGTTAAAGGTACATTTAGATTCGCCGGATATAAACATATTGATTTAAATTGTTATATTGATACAGGAGCCAGTCTTTGTATCGCAAGTAAATATGTTATTCCAGAAGAACATTGGATTAACACTCCAAAACCTATAAAGGTTTCCACAACAAACGGACATGTAATTATCAACAAAAAATGTGTTGATTTACAGATAAGACTTGCCGGAGAAATATTCCATATCCCCTCTGTATACCAACAAGAATGTGGAATAGATTTCATCCTAGGAAATAACTTCTGTCTTTTGTATAGACCATTTGTACAAAATCTCAAAACAGTTACTTTCCACAACAATGGTGTTCAAATCATTATTGATAAAATCACAAACGCTTATAGAAATGGAAAACCTGGATTTTTTGAATCAATGAAAAATAATTCAAAAATTAAAAAACCAGAACCTGTCAACATCTCTCAAAGCAAAATTGAAGAAACTTTGCCTTTTAAAATTGGGGAGAATGAATAAGAATTTAAATTTCTTCTTAACCAAGAAAAATTTTCAAAAATTGAGAATTTACTTGAAACAGTTTACTCATAAAATCCTATAGACCCAATAAAGTCTAAACAATGGATGAAAGCAAACATAAAATTAATCGACCCGACCACTATCATAACACTTAAACCTATGAAATACAGTGTGACATCCCCTAATTTCTCGGCCAGAAAAGACCGACTTAATTTATGCTTTTAAAATAAAGTCAGAGTAATCCTTTTAAAAGATGTTGCGGAATTTGTCCCCAAAACAAAACATGATAAAATTTATCAAAACCTTTCTTTAAGAAATATATATTTTCATTTTATATCAAAACCTCGGGATTTCATGTTCCGATACAGATCAAAAGCATAAACAAAACATTATAAGCCTTACAACAGTTATTTACAACTACTGGCCTATAATCCAAAAAATCTCTCATCATCATCCGACTATGCTCGGGGTCCACTACCTGTAAGATAAAAAGCTGAGTGGGTCAGGCTTGGGAGCCTGGTGAGCATATAGGGTTTTCAACCCACAATAATAATAAATCTATCAGATTCATCAATCAACAATAACCCTGATTACCCATTCCCGTTATCCTCACTTTACGTCCCTAAACACCTATCACAAGGGAACTAGCCTAAGGAATATCATCGGGATGGACACTACTGCTAAGGGGAATCCTCATCCATACATGTCCTAAAGGCAACCATGAGGGGGCTGGAGTACGCCAATGAACATATAGTTCACCAACACCTACAAGTTGCAAACCTGCTAGCGTTCCACTGGACTGTCTAGAAAGGTCCGTGGTCGTCATCTATACTCCGCTAGACGACAACAACAACAACAACAACAACAACAACATCGATGCCTCTCACCATTTTAACACACATCGACTATTTCGTCTACCCATGTTTTACCCAACATATTTGTAGATAAAATACATATACAATTTAAAACTTGTATAAAACATCTATTCAATAGTCACCTCAATTAAACAATTAATATAATTACACATAGCACGTATTTTATAGAAAATACTTCATATCTAGGTGTAAAATGAAAGTAACTACACACTCACTTGATTTAATGATAATCGGGCAGCACTTCGTTTCCTAAAACGATCGTTTCTAATAAAACCGAGAGTTTTATTAAGTAACCGGGCTCTGCGAGGGTTGGGCTTCAAAGCCGAAAAGATAAATTTTTCCGGGTCTTCGGGCACTTCGGAACATATTTCGGTATTCTTTATATATCCGGAATCCTTGTCGAGACCACTACAACTTTCTTAATAGATATCGACTTTATCTAATATTTATTTTCGACGCTCATTTTTATTCTTAATTAATTAAATCCTAATAATTAAGCATAAAACACATAATTCACATAATATTCACATAATTCCTTTTCATTTCTTCAAAATGAGTGACAAAGGTTAACCTAGACTATTATGTCAATATTAATGCCTAGCCTAGAAACACGTGCGTTACAATTCTCTCCCCCTTAGGATGATTCCGTCCCCGGAATCACACATCAGCAAACAAATGCGAGTAGCGACTCATCATGTCACTCTCCGTTTCGCAGGTGAGATTTGGCCCATTCGTATGTTTCCATCGCACAAGCACTAAATCAACCATTTTGCGTCGCAACTTCTTAGTCTTACGGTCAACGATTGCCTCTTGTTCTTCAATTAACCTCTTGTTTTCATCCAACCTTAATTCAGAAATTGGAATTATGTCAGGCACATCTCCCGTGAACTTTCTCAAATAACACACATGAAAGGTACTATGAATACACTCTAGTTCTTATGGTAATTCTAGCTTGTAATATTGATTCCCAATCCTCTGAAGAACCTTAAACGATCCAATAAACCTTGGACTCAATTTTCCCCTCTTACCAAATCTTATAAGTCCCTTCCACGACGAGACTTTAAGTAAAACCGAATCTCTAACTTCGAATGATATCAGTTGTCTTTTCTTGTCAGCATAGCTCTTTTGTCGATATTGAGCTGCTAACATCCTTTCCCTAATCACTTTCAACTTTTCAGCAGTCTGATGGACTATTTCAGGTCCCATAAACTGCTTTTCCCCAGCTTCCAGCCAACATGACGGCGTTCGACACTTTTCTCCATACAAAGCGTGATAAGGTGCCATCTTGATGCTCGAGTGGAAACTATTATTATAGGAAAATTCTACTAGAGGTAAGTGTTCATCCCAGTTACCTTGGAATTCCAGGGTACATGCTCTCAACATATCCTCCAACGTTTGAATTGTTCGTTCGCTATGACCATCGGTTTGCGGATGGTAAGCTGTACTCAAACACAACTTGGTACCCAATTCCTCTTGTAGACTCCTCCAAAACCTTGAGGTAAAACGGCTGTCACGATCTGATACAATCGTTAACGGAACACCGTGAAGCCTCACAATTTCCTTAACGTAAGAATTCGCAAGTTTATCCATAGACCATTTCTCGTTGGCTGCTATGAAATGCGCACTCTTAGTGAAGCGATCAACGACCACCCAAATCATGTCGTGACCGTTCTTTGTTCTGGGCAGTTTAGTCACGAAATTCATGGTGATGTCCTCCCATTTACCCATGGGTACAGGTAAAGGTTCTAAACTCCCATACGGTTTCTGATGTTGTGCCTTAACCCTAGCACATGTTACACACTTGGCCACATACTTAGAAACATCAAGCTTCATCGTCGGCCACCAGTAGTAGAGTTTAAGATCCCTATACATTTTTTGTGCTGCCGGGATGAATCGAGTACATGGTTTTGTGAGCTTCTTCCATCAGAAGATCTCTTACGCCTCCCGTCTTAGGTACCCAAATCCTATCTTGGAATATCTTCAGTCCTTGACCGTTTGTATCAAACACTAACGTTTTTCCCAAACGTTCTTCCTTTCGGTCATTTTTCTCTAAAGCTTCCTCCTGAGCTTTCTTTATACTTTCCACAATTGTAGAGACAACTTCAATCTTCAGTGCTCTTGGCCTTCTCTTTTCAAGATTTACCTTCCGACTGAGAGCATCAGCAACAACATTTGCTTTACCAGGGTGGTAAAGTATCTCAAAGTCGTAGTCCTTGAGTAACTCTAGCCAGCGTCGTTTCCTCATGTTAAATTCCTTCTGATTAAAGAGATATTGAAGAATCTTATGATCAGTGAAAAGTTTTCATTTAGTGCCATAAAGATAGTGCCTCTATATCTTTAAGGCGAATACTACCACTGCCAACTCCAGATCATGAGTGGGGTAGTTCTTTTCATGCTCTTTCAATTGCCTCGATGCATACGCTACCACTTTATACCTTTGGGTCAGAACACAACCTAACCCAACTCCAGAGGTATCACTATAAACTGCGAAGTCATCAACTCCTTCAGGTAACGAAAGAATCGGTGCTTCACACAATTTCATCTTTAACTTCTCAAAAGCTTCCTTATGCTTCTCATTCCAAGTATAAGTAGCTCCTTTGTGGGTCAAAGCTGTTAATGGAGTAGCGATCGAAGAAAATCCTTGGATAAACCTTCGGTAATATCCGGCTAATCCTAAAAAGCTTCGGATCTCCGTAGGAGTTTTCGGTTGTTCCCACTTCATCACAGCTTCAATCTTCGCTGGGTCAACCATTATTCCTTCTTGGTTAACCACATGACCCAAAAATTGGACTTCTTGAATCCAAAATTCACATTTGGAGAACTTTGCATACAACTCCTCCTTTTTCAGAACTTCTAGCACTTCACGCAGATGCTTGTCATGCTCCTGCTTGCTTTTTGAATAAATCAAAATATCATCTATGAACACTATCACAGATTTATCAAGGTATGGTTTACAAACCCTGTTCATCAAATCCATGAAAGCCGTTGGTGCATTGGTTAATCCGAACGACATAACCAAGAACTCATAGTGTCCATATCTTGTTCTGAACGTAGTCTTTTCAATATCCTGCTCTCTTACCTTTAGTTGATGATATCCTGACCTAAGATCGATCTTCGAGAAATAGCTCGAACCTTGCAACTGATCGAACATGTCATCAATCCTCGGCAACGGGTACTTGTTCTTTATTGTTGCTTTATTCAGCTCTCTGTAATCGATGCACATTCTCATGCTCCCATCTTTCTTCTTTACGAATAACACCGGAGCTCCCCAGGGTGATGAACTAGGCCGAATAAAACCTTTGTCCAATAACTCCTGAAGTTGTGTCATAAGCTCTTTCATCTCTGTTGGTGCTAATCGATACAGTGCTTTTGCTATTGGCGTCGTTCCTGGTAACAAGTCGATACGAAATTCTACTTGTCGATCAGGGGGTAATCCGGGAAGATCTTCGGGAAAGACTTCCGGATAGTCACACACCACCGGAATATTCTGCACCTCCTTATTTTCCTTCTTAGCATCGATCATGAATGCTAGATATGATGTACATCCCTTGACCAAACACTTT